CACCACACAGCCGATTTTAAAGACAGGCCTATACTGAAACCCTCTCCCAGCAGAATTAAACCACCTTATGGCCAATACGATTTTGCTTGGAAAGTCTGGAAAGGGATTATCGCAAAAAGCCAGCTTTCCTGGACGACACTGGATGAAATCCGAAGAGGATTTGGAAATGCCACAGACCTTCTCTGGTGATATCGATCTCCTGTATTTAAAGGCAAGCTTGGAAAAATCAATTTTCGTGCGTTTATCTTCGATGATGGCCAGGAGCATTCCAATCGTGCTGAGTGTGCAAAAATACTTGGGATGAAAAGTTCTAATGTCTGAAAACATAAATGTCTTTGATATGAAGAAGAAACTACGTGTATCTCGCTACAGAGAAATATTCCTGAATATCATCAGAGTGTAAATGTTCGTGTTTGCCGTGACTTACATTTTCCCGTTGTATCAAAGTTGTGGTGCAAAGTATGATTAACTGAAGTTCTTGTGATTATCATGGAATGTGTAAATTATTACCATTTTGATTGTCAAGACTTCAAATGATTTGCTCGAAGTTTTGCAATCTTAGAAAAGAACCACGTTCTATTATGTCAAGATATTTGATTTTTCAACATTGAACACCACTAGCCCACATGACAAACTTAAGGAACAACTCCATTTGGTGATGCATAGGCCATTTGTTAAAAACGTGGTGACCAAAGATATACTTACGTCGTGAGATCTTCACAGGTGCAGAAAAGTTTCTCAAATAGGAAAGCAAATGGCATCTGTAGTTTTACTGGGTGACGTACTGGACTTTCTCGTTGATTACGTTCATGTGAAATCTGGGGATGAGAAATTTAGGCAAGAAGAAGACATCCGCATCGACACCAATCTAACCCTTCTTACTGATTCGTTTTTGTGCACTGAATTTCGAATTTCTGATCGGATTGGCAAGGGAATTTGGACAGAAGTTCAACTTAAGCTTCAGATATATTGATTCAATAATTGTCAAATTGCCAATTCCCTTCCACTGATTTAGTCTCCTGACTTAGAAATAAAACAGAGCAGTGAAACCATCTATGTGGAAAGACCAAGAGTGATAAAAAGGTCTCCAACACACAGTATGACAAGAGGGATGACTTCAACTTTCTTAAAGTCAACTTTCCTTTTTATGTCTACATTTTACAACTTTTGAGGTACAATCGAGCATGCTCGTTCTGCGATGATTTCAAAACTGTCATCAAGTTTATGGTGGCCATGTGGACGAAATGTCCCAATTTGACGCATCAGTGACAAACATGATGTCCGCCGACACAATTCCCTATTTTGACTTGTAACATAAGATCACGTGTTTTTTCCTGTGAACACTTGACTTTCCTTTGCGTGTGTTGTTTGTGTGACGGGTGCCACCGGTGGAGCAGGATACGATCACATTTTCACGAACACTTGGTATAATCATTATTATTTTGAAAGTGATCGTATAATCACTTTTTTACAGTGATGATTGCTTCCGATACAGTCGGAATCGTACAGCTCAAATCCTAGGTAATTGTTTCACACGTGTGACAGAGCGACTGTCGAGGGAGAGATGTACCTGCCGGTTAGTGCAAGAGTCCTTTTATCTGGTAAAGCAAAGAAGCCTGGTCTGGCTCAGGCAAAATCAGTCCCAGTGGAGATGTAGGTATATACCTGAATCCGACCAGTCACATCTAGTGAAGAGGTGTTCAAGGTACATGTAGTAGTAATTCTGTACAGATTTCTTGTCCCAGAGACGCGGTAGTTCAACTAAACATGCTGTCTTGTAAATTCAAATTAGTATGAAGTTAATGAGCCTTCTCTAAGATACCTCCTGTTGTTGTTTATAATCGATGGTCATTCAGTCGTTGAGTGGGATACATTCACTTGAACTGCAAGGTTTACTAACACTACTATGTCATGTCTTATACAAACACGCATTGATTGTTCTGTAAGAAGGGGTTTCTACAACTTTTGGGATACAATCGTGCATGCTGTTTCTGTGATGATATCAAAGAGTGTCCACCGACACTTGCACAATAGTTGAAAAGTTGTTCAAAGCCTCAAATTTGACACGTCATTGACAAAAATGATACCCAATCTTCCCTTTTTTTCCGTGAACAATTTACTTACCTTTCATGACTATTTTTCACTGAGCAATGATGTGCATAATAAACGGATCCTATATGGACACATTCACACGGATCCACCAGGTGAAGCATCTCCTTTTAGTATTGACAAGTGTGGGATTCTGCGAAAAACTACTCTTCGGTGATTAATTATTGGAATTTGTCGGGTTCTTCATGATGCAGCTAAATTTTCAGAGGCTTTCTGAAATCAGAAGGAGCACTGGAACCGGTGGGTTATGCGTCTGGAAATCAACTCTGCAAAAAGCACACAACAGTCTGAAATCGGGAAAACTCTCCTCACTTAATTCACTCTCATTAACGCATTTTACCCCAAAGTTTAAACCGGTGACACGGCAAGTCACCCCTGTGTAGGTTACTTCCTAGACTAACATTCAGTCTCTGAAATCTTATATTACACAATATCCTTCTTGACTCTAAAAATAAAAAAAAGATTCCCTATGCTGGGAGCTAGCTTGAGCTGGCTAGACTTGCTTTTGTATGCATTTCTAGATTATTATTTTTTCATAAAATAAATATATTCCACGGTCATGGTGCAGGACTAGTTACTTCCCAGCTGCTCCTTCTCTTATGGGAGTCAACAAAACAACTATTTTTTGCTATATATTGGATGATTCCATGTTTTTCTTTTGTTCTAGTTTCAATATCAAGCAAACGCTTGTGAAACTTTGCGTGACTCGCGGGTTTCCGTGGTAACAGATTGTCACTTATTGTCATTAATTCAGTTTACTTAATTGATCTGGACAGCAGAGATCAATTTTGGCCTTCGTGACGATAGAATACGATTTTGTCTGTGCAGTATGAGGATATATAAACAGGATTTTACGACTTCATTTTCACAGTTGCCAAATCCAAACCAATTATTCTTGTCTGTGCTCAATGCTGACAGTATTATTGTTTTGTATCCAGGCTAAGGACTGACCCCTGTGTATACAGACTACTGGAACAAACATTCCGGGGGCGTCGTTGGCAATAAACGTGTTGCACATAGCAGCACTTCCAATTTATGGATGTTGTTTGAAATGGTGCTTTTCATATAGGTACTTAATCAGTGAAATATCAAGTGTTCCAAAGTAACGAAGGGAACGCAAAATCGATCCTTCATACATAGTAGGAAACTAAACTGCACAAGCGGACCCTTCCAGGGACTTAACAAATACTGTTTCTACCGTTCTGATTGGAAAGTAAATGCCTTGGTTAACCAGCCGATATACAGACATGTCACGACCAAAGAAAGGAAGTTAAGAGAAAGTACTGAAATATCTTTGACATGCATTAGTTAAAGTACCCACTCCTGATGTTTATGTGCAGCTACGCTCAAAGAGGCAGCTTTCACTGCCAGTACCGGGTTGTGTTGAAGCGCAATGGTGGGATAAAGCAATAACCAGACAGGTGCTTTTTGTATTTGGTCATCATATTCCTCAGATAATGTTTGTACAATGCATACTCCTGACATAGGTGGTCTTGTGGTAAAATGTGCCACAACTCTCTGTATGTGGGTCTAGGTCGTGGCAGGGTCATGGGTTCGGATTCTGGATTCCACCCGATTACGATCCCCGAGTTGTTTGCTTCATTACCGCTCATTCGCTTTTCACCAAAGTGGGCGACGTGTACAAGCTCCGTCTCGTCGAAACTCCCTCCCACATTAAGCTCAAGCACTGGAACTATAATACCGTATAAAGCAGCTTTATGTCAAACATGAGGGACCACGTGGTCCTATTTAGCCCTCATTATTTTCATAATTAAGCATGCTAGGATTATCTAGTGTTAAGTCAACCACTCCGTTCCTGTTTTAGCGAGGTTCATGAACTTATTTATTTATCGTAATTGAGACGTAAATATTGAACCTAACAAAATCGTCTGTGGCCATACGTGATAGAATTAAATGAAACTGATGTTATTGTTGAATTTGACATCTAAGTATTCTATATAGCAAGGCAAAGGTGTGTTTGCAAAGGTTAAAAATGCAGAAGACGTGTATCAAGGACACCTTTTTAGATGTGAAATCGAATTGCACTTTAGACGTAATCACCCACAGAGAACAACGGTTTCTATATAAACGAAACGATCTTTGTAAGTTTTCCTTGTCACAGTTTCTGACATGTTCAGTCATCTTTATGTTTGTATATCTGAGATTGGGTTTTCATTCGTATGGTTTCCCCGGAGACGTGGTTGGCACGGGAGTAGTAATTGTATCCTTGGGCTTTCGGCTTTGAAACAAATAAAATTTAAAGAAAACGATAATGACGGATGGCAGAGTCTAGGTCATGCCTACATTGGTCGCTTGAAAGCCTAAGTCCAAGAAAACATTATTGAATAAAATTATTGAATAATTTACGGTTTTCACGTTTGCTCAACAAGTCTTAACATGCTCAATTCGGTTACAACGATCGAACGGAACTTTATGATATACTGTTTCACTGGATATTTGATAGTTAAATATACAGTCATATGTGTACGTCCCATTGCGATTGTATTGTTTCTAAGTGAAACTTGTTGTCCCCTGTCGTAATATTAGTGCTGAAAATGTTAGCACCAAAAGCGTCGTAAAACCATATTCACTCACTTAAAATATTATCTTCCTTGAATAATTAGATAGAATAATTATTGCAGAATGTAGATATATATATTTATACTTCGTTATCCGATGTTGGGACGTTGCTCATAGTATCAAACACTGGTTTATCTTCTCCAAAATCGATTATTTACAGATAACCGTCAGATGGCTGAATTATTGCTGAATGCGGTGCTAGACAACAAACAAACCATCTGAAGATAAGACGATTGAACTGCTTATATATGTTGACAGTGTATCAAATATTTGGATTCTACGTTTGTTGATGTTATCTTTTTCTTTTCCAGCTTGTGGCGAATGGTGTGCTCTTTCTGAGCGTCAACATAGCAGGGATATTTATTCATTATCTCACACAGAGGTCTCAGAGAAAAACGTTCATTGACACACGCAACTGTATAGCAGCTAGATTAGAAATACAGGAGGAAAATGAAAAATTGGTAAGTATACATACGCTTGGGCAGACTTTCTGTCAGTTTGTGATACAGGTTTCACGGTGTTGGCACACGTGTACAGACAAAACAATACAACAATACAACAATAGTAACATCGGGTCTTGTGTGAACTAATGTCGTATCATGTCGGCGGTTCGTCTTGAACATATCCATCCAGAGTTACTACGAAACCATGGGTCTGCCGGATGATTGTATTAAAAAGAGGAAATTAGTAACGCTATGACGCGATTTCAAACGTGTTATCCATGGTGGCTAAGGTTGATATATCTGCTGGCACCTACTTGGTGGTTGATAGTTTTGAAATGTTACAAAATAATGTGTAAGAATAAGTCCACATAAAGGCAAACTTCACTTTTGGCGATGCCACGGTTGATGACATGACACGGAACATACGCGGTGTCCAAGTGTCCCCTGGTGTATACAGCTATCAGTAACATGATGTGGCATGTGCGTGAGTTCTATACTTGGTATGTTAAAGCAGACATGGCAACAGCTGATCTTGTGAGTTAAGCGGCAAGGTTCGGCAGGTGCAACCGATTGACTTGTTCTGAAGTTGTCGGAAAGACTGCAGTGGGCATCGAACAGTCCTTTAACCTATATGTCGTCTTTCCAGCTGACATTTGAGATAGACATTAAGTTCCACTACTTGGTATGCACGGTATTTTTAAAGGTAATATTAAAAAGAGGAAACGTTGTTGATTCCTAAAGCACATTGTTGATTCCTTAAGGTGAAAGCTATGAGAATTACAAGAGCGTGTGTGTCTGTCAGACAAGACGTAGTGGAGGTTACGTCTGTCCTTGGCGTTTCCCCTGAAATGTTGATGGGATCTAACACTATACTGACCCTGTGCAGACAGGAGCATGTAGGACAAGGTCGCCGTCCCTCGTCCCTTGTGCTTGTCAACATATGATTGGCACAAGTCATAATGAGTTATGCTGGAAGATCGTTTGTTTGAAATATACTCTGAGCTGTACATGCGTAATACATACCTTCTTTCTCTACTCTCTCTACTCACCCTCTCAGACCTAATGGATCCCTATGTCTTCTTTCTATCTCTCTACTCTCCCTCTCAGACCTAATCGATCCCCATGTCTTCTTCCTATCTCTCTCTACTCTCCCTCTCAGACCTAATCGATCCCCATGTCTTCTTTCTATCTCTCTCTACTCTCCCTCTCAGACCTAATGGATCCCCATGTCTTCTTTCTATCTTTCTACTCTCCCTCTCAGACCTAATCGATCCCCATGTCTTCTTTCTATCTCTCTCTACTCTCCCTCTCAGACCTAATCGATCCCAATGTCTTCTTTCTATCTCTCTCTACTCTCCCCCTCAGACCTAATCGATCCCAATGTCTTCTTTCTATCTCTCTCTACTCTCCCTCTCAGACCTAATCGACCCCCATGTCTTCTTTCTATCTCTCTCTACTCTCCCTCTCAGACCTAATCGATCCCAATGTCTTCTTTCTATCTCTCTCTACTGTCCCCCTCAGACATAATCGATCCCCATGTCTTCTTCCTATCTCTCTCTATTCTCCCCCTCAGACATAATCGATCCCCATGTCGTCTTCCTATCTCTCTCTACTCTCCCTCTCAGACCTAATTGATCCCCATGTCTTCTTCCTATCTCTCTCTACTCTCCCTCTCAGACCTAATGGATCCCCATGTCTTCTTTCTATCTCTCTACTCTCCCTCTCAGACCTAATGGATCCCCATGTCTTCTTCCTATCTCTCTCTACTCTCCCTCTCAGACCTAATCGATCCCCATGTCTTCTTTCTATCTCTCTCTACTCTCCCTCTCAGACCTAATCGATCCCCATGTCTTCTTTCTATCTCTCTCTATTCTCCCCCTCAGACATAATCGATCCCCATGTCTTCTTTCTATCTCTCTCTACTCTCCCTCTCAGACCTAATCGATCCCAATGTCTTCTTCCTATCTCTCTCTACTCTCCCCCTCAGACATAATGGATCCCCATGTCTTCTTCCTATCTCTCTCTACTCTCCCTCTCAGACCTAATGGATCCCCATGTCTTCTTTCTTTCTCTCTCTATTCTCCCCCTCAGACCTAATCGATCCCCATGTCTTCTTTCTATCTCTCTCTACTGTCCCCCTCAGACATAATCGATCCCCATGTCTTCTTCCTATCTCTCTCTACTCTCCCTCTCAGACCTAATGGATCCCCATGTCTTCTTTCTTTCTCTCTCTATTCTCCCCCTCAGACCTAATCGATCCCAATGTCTTCTTTCTATCTCTCTCTACTGTCCCCCTCAGACATAATCGATCCCCATGTCTTCTTCCTATCTCTCTCTACTCTCCCTCTCAGACCTAATGGATCCCCATGTCTTCTTTCTATCTCTCTCTACTCTCCCTCTCAGACCTAATGGATCCCCATGTCTTCTTTCTATCTCTCTCTACTCTCCCTCTCAGACCTAATGGATCCCCATGTCTTCTTTCTTTCTCTCTCTATTCTCCCCCTCAGACCTAATCGATCCCAATGTCTTCTTTCTATCTCTCTCTACTGTCCCCCTCAGACATAATCGATCCCCATGTCTTCTTCCTATCTCTCTCTACTCTCCCTCTCAGACCTAATGGATCCCCATGTCTTCTTTCTTTCTCTCTCTATTCTCCCCCTCAGACCTAATCGATCCCAATGTCTTCTTTCTATCTCTCTCTACTGTCCCCCTCAGACATAATCGATCCCCATGTCTTCTTCCTATCTCTCTCTACTCTCCCTCTCAGACCTAATGGATCCCCATGTCTTCTTTCTATCTCTCTCTACTCTCCCTCTCAGACCTAATGGATCCCCATGTCTTCTTTCTATCTCTCTCTACTCTCCCTCTCAGACCTAATGGATCCCAATGTCTTCTTTCTATCTCTCTCTACTCTCCCCCTCAGACATAATCGATCCCCATGTCTTCTTTCTATCTCTCTCTACTCTCCCCCTCAGACCTAATCGATCCCCATGTCTTCTTCCTATCTCTCTCTACTCTCCCCCTCAGTCCTAATCGATCCCCATGTCTTCTTTCTATCTCTCTCTACTCTCCCTCTCAGACCTAATCGATCCCCATGTCTTCTTTCTATCTCTCTCTACTCTCCCTCTCAGACCTAATCGATCCCAATGTCTTCTTTCTATCTCTCTCTACTCTCCCTCTCAGACCTAATCGATCCCCATGTCTTCTTTCTATCTCTCTCTACTCTCCCTCTCAGACCTAATCGATCCCCATGTCTTCTTTCTATCTCTCTCTACTCTCCCTCTCAGACCTAATCGATCCCCATGTCTTCTTTCTTTCTCTCTCTACTCTCCCTCTCAGACCTAATGGATCCCCATGTCTTCTTTCTATCTCTCTCTACTCTCCCTCTCAGACCTAATCGATCCCCATGTCTTCTTTCTATCTCTCTCTACTCTCCCTCTCAGACCTAATCGATCCCCATGTCTTCTTTCTATCTCTCTCTACTCTCCCTCTCAGACCTAATGGATCCCCATGTCTTCTTTCTTTCTCTCTCTACTCTCCCTCTCAGACATAATCGATCCCAATGTCTTCTTTCTATCTCTCTCTACTCTCCCTCTCAGACCTAATCGATCCCCATGTCTTCTTTCTTTCTCTCTCTATTCTCCCCCTCAGACCTAATCGATCCCCATGTCTTCTCTCTATCTCTCTCTACTCTCCCTCTCAGACCTAATGGATCCCCATGTCTTCTTTCTTTCTCTCTCTATTCTCCCTCTCAGACCTAATTGATCCCCATGTCTTCTTCCTATCTCTCTCTACTCTCCCTCTCAGACCTAATCGATCCCCATGTCTTCTTTCTATCTCTCTACTCTCCCTCTCAGACCTAATGGATCCCCATGTCTTCTTTCTATCTCTCTCTACTCTCCCTCTCAGACCTAATCGATCCCCATGTCTTCTTTCTTTCTCTCTCTATTCTCCCCCTCAGACCTAATCGATCCCAATGTCTTCTTTCTATCTCTCTCTATTCTCCCCCTCAGACATAATCGATCCCCATGTCTTCTTTCTATCTCTCTCTACTCTCCCTCTCAGACCTAATCGATCCCCATGTCTTCTTTCTATCTCTCTACTCTCCCTCTCAGACCTAATCGATCCCCATGTCTTCTTTCTATCTCTCTCTACTCTCCCTCTCAGACCTAATCGATCCCCATGTCTGCTTTCTATCTCTCTCTACTCTCCCCCTCAGTCCTAATTGATCCCCATGTCTTCTTTCTATCTCTCTCTACTCTCCCTCTCAGACCTAATGGATCCCCATGTCTTCTTTCTATCTCTCTCTACTCTCCCTCTCAGACCTAATCGATCCCAATGTCTTCTTTCTATCTCTCTCTACTCTCCCTCTCAGACCTAATCGATCCCAATGTCTTCTTTCAGGAAAAGCTCCTTCTCAGTGTCTTACCTCAACATGTCGCCATGGAGATGAAAAATGATATCACTACGCCTCATCACGGAATTTTTCACAAAATCTATATACAACGTCATGATAACGTATCGTAAGTTCCTCTGGCTGATCTGGTTAAGATATTAGAGCGTTTGATGTTCGGGTGTATTGTCTGGTGGTTGTTGGTGAAGTGCTTGTACGAAGGATTAACCCAATCTGAATCACCCTGCAACTTTACTGATGTTTGTTGAGCTCAAGGAAACTGCAATCGAAACTCGCTGAATTTTAGTGTAATCTCCAATTTGTGTTTGAAGCCTCATTGAGTCGCATTAATCATAACACACTATTACAGTGTACCGACAAATGTGTATTCCGTCATTCTGTCCAAAACGACATATGTGTTATCCGACATTCTCTTTGAACCGACATATCTGTCCTCTTGTTGTGGGTTCGCCACGATTATTATTATTATTGCATTGGTATCCTATTTCTGTCTGCACCATACCTGCTTCCGGGTTTCATAAAAATGAAAAACGTCAAAGACATCCATCACTTTCGGCTTTCTTCCTTGATTTGACACGCTATAATATGGCTGAACTGCTATAATTAGACGCGGCGGGAAAGCCAACTCAAGTCACTTTACCGTAACAACTTATTGGAACGCCATTATATAATTCATTCTAATCCCTGAATATCCGAACTACTCATCCGCTAGTATTCTGATTTGTGTGGTTCCAGTACACAGTAAACCACCTGGTCTTCTGGATCGGTCGTTTATTACAGTTTCTACTCATGTTTCATAATCCACTGGGAATTCATTTATACGTGCACATTAACTCGACCTTTGTCTCATTTTTCAGAATATTATTTGCTGATATAGTTGGGTTCACCAACCTTGCCTCTCAGTGCACAGCACAGGAACTGGTTAGAATATTAAATGAGCTGTTCGGAAGATTTGATCATTTAGCAAAGGTAAGTTTATTTCAGGGCCATATAAGGTATGTTCCACTATCTCGGAAAGTACATTTTATTGAATCAGTACACGTCATGTTTCATTTTGCGAGTTACTTGGACAAGAGACTACTATTCTGTCAAGTCTGCCATATTTCATTTACCCAATGAAGAACAGAACAGCGTAACAAGTGAGGTTTTATCCCGGGAGTTGAAACGCTTTTCATGTAATATTAAATAAGCGTCAGCTCACAGTGAATTAATGGGAGTTCGGATCTAGTTTGCTGGTGTGAGAGAAAAGCCGCTAGTATTTATGACGTGATATTGCAGTGAGGAGACAACGAGGGCGGATGTTATACTGAATGCATTCCTCTTAATTACAAACCAAACTTTACAAAAAAATTCAATCGCTTTCAAAGCGGAGTCACTGAAGTTCAAAATTAAGTTCTACATTGTTTGATATTCCGATTTTCAGTCGAGAAGGATCTTAAAGCTCTTGCAAGCCACAAATACGATAACGTGTTTTTAACACACGGGCTATTACGGGCCCGCTGTAAAGATAATTATCTCTCATATATGTTCGATCAAAATATGTGGGACTCAAGAGACTGCTTGAAATTACCAAAGTCTAAAGCAAAACTTGGTGACGCCCAGGGAAATCAGGGACAGACCGTTTTGTTCGAAAAATAAACAGTCCAGGAAAATGTGGAAAAAATTCTTTCGCTCTAAATACTGAACAAATAATCATCAGACGTACGTGTTGAAAAAAAAAAATGCAAAGGAAACCTATTTGACATATTTTAACAACTACATATACCACTTGCCAGGTACAATGATAGGCACATTGATTTCTTTTCATTTCTTGAAGTTTGAATCCTGACTATGATTCCAGAACAACTACTGTCTGCGCATCAAGATCCTCGGAGATTGCTACTACTGTGTGAGTGGCCTCCCCGACCCCCGGGCCGACCACGCCCACTGCTGTGTCGAGATGGGTCTGGATATGATTGAAGCTATAGCGTAAGTATTCTCACTATGATTGCCACTTTACTGCATAAGCATAAATGTGAAAATTGACGCTATAGCATACGTATTCTGAATATGATTGACTCTACAATGTAAATGTGAGTATTGTGGATATGATTGACGCTACAACGTACATGTGAGTATTGTGGATATGATTGACGCTACAACGTACATGTGAGTATTGTGGATATGATTGACACTACAACGTACTTGTGAGTATTGTGGATATGATTGACGCTACAACGTACATGTGAGTGTTGTAGATATGATTGACGCTACAACGTACATGTGAGTATTGTGGATATGATTGACGCTACCACGTACATTCAAGTGTTGTGTATATGATTGACGCTACAGCGTCCTTTTGAATATTGTGGATATGATTGACGCTACAACGTACATTTGAGTGTTGTGGTTATGATTGACGCTACAGCGCACTTGTGAGTATTGTGGATATGGTTAAAGGTACAACATACATTTGAGTGTTGTGGATATGTTTGACGCTACAGCGTACATGTGAGTGTTGTGGATATGATTGACGCTACAACGTACATGTGAGTATTGTGGATATGATTGACGCTACAACGTACATTTGAGTATTGTCAGTATTGTGGATATGATTGACGCTACAACGTACATGTGAGTGTTGTAGATATGATTGACGCTACAACGTACATGTGAGTATTGTGGATATGATTGACGCTACCACGTACATTCAAGTGTTGTGTATATGATTGACGCTACAGCATCCTTTTTAATATTGTGGATATGATTGACGCTACAACGTACATTTGAGTGTTGTGGTTATGATTGACGCTAAAGCGCACTTGTGAGTATTGTGGATATGGTTAAAGGTACAACATACATTTGAGTGTTGTGGATATGTTTGACGCTACAACGTACATTTGAGTATTGTGGATATGTTTGACGCTACAATGTACATTTGAGTATTGTGGTTATGATTGACGCTACAGCGTACATGTGAGTGTTGTGGATATGATTGACGCTACAACTTACATTTTAGTATTGTGGTTATGATTGACGCTACATCGTACATTTGAGTGTTATGGATATGATTGACTCTACAACGTACATTTGAGTGTTGTGGATATGATTGACGCTAAAACGTACATTTGAGTATTGTGGATATGTTTGACTCTACAATGTACATTTGAGTGTTGTGGATATGATTAACGCTAAAACGTACATTTGAGTATTGTGGATATGATTGACGCTACAACGTACATTTGAGTGTTGTGGATATGTTTGACGCTACAACGTACATTTGAGAAAGCTGGATAGGATTGACACAATAGTTTTGCCATGTTGAATTAGATGTAGCTGTATATAGAGCAAATATTGTCGATTTGATTATATTCCCTAATTTAAGATGTGTTTGCAGATCGAGGATTATCACTTTCTTTATAAGTGGAATCATTTTGCTCTATACAAAATTGTACGCATTTCTCACTGTAAGTAACAGACGTGATACCATACATTTTTGTAAAAAAAATCATACTTTTGAAAAATTGCAGATAAACAAAACAAATCAAGTAGAATAGGAAAACCATTACTCGTCAGTGAGGAAAATGAAGGACATTAAACTTAAGTGTAATACAGTAGTAGTAGTAGTAGCATTACCTACATCGATTACCTACACTCGGCGTGTCTTGAAGCTCTATTTCTCGAGGGTTATGCGAATCTTACATAACAGCATCAGAGCAATGCTCTTGGGTACATTCGATAAATATTCATCGATATTTCGTCAGTTTGTTTGGTCCTTTTTCCCAGACGTCATGAAGTCAAAGCCATACATTACACCTTCATATTTGATGTTCACCACTACTTCCCTGGGACTTAAACCTCCACACTCAAAGGTCTTATAACCAGCGATAACATACGCCGGGCCAAATGGTTTTTCTATATGTGTAGCTATGTGCATAAGAAAAGCACCGCTCACTAAACTTACTCCGATGTTCAGGAGAAACACGGCGTACAATAACATCGGTGCTGTTAGGGCCATCGATTCTTTTTCAGATGCCAGAACTATCTTTCATTTCCCATCCGTCAAGCAGTCTTTGTGGCCAACTATTTGCCATTATTTCAATTGGCCGAGGGCAGGGACAAAATATAGGCTTATTGGCCTTTTTTCGTGCCATAATTACGTCAATCAACAAGAATCGATTTCTCTTGAGGGAGACGAAATCTCATGTATGACAAAGGTGGCCCCATGTTATAACCTGCTTGTTTAATCTCGGACCATGATAGAATGCTCTGTTGCTATCAACTTGTCACATTTAAATTTCATCCCCACATCAATCAACACGCGCAACGAGCTGCAGTCGAGGGGTCTCTCCATGATGTGTTCTTTTAACCTTTAGAATATGTCACTGGTTAATAGATAAGGGATATCATTGTGTGTATTTTATACGTGTGTCTCATATGGTGTGGTGAACAATTCCAAAACTTTAGATCAGTCGAACACGCTCCTGCGATATCTATCACAATTGTAACGAAGCAAACGCGACAAAGATTATTTTCTAATGCAGAGCGTTGCTATATCTTTGTAAGGTAGACCTATATTTCGTCTCTTTTTCCTGGTTCTTGCATGATCTTTTTAAAGATTATTTTTTACTCTTTTTTTTCATTTGTTTCTTTTTATCCCCCGTGTTTTCAGCTCACGTACGAACAACACTTTGTGTGTAGTTCTTCCCATCTGTCATGTTCAGTGAATTGGCAGAACTCTAACATTCACAAGCGACCCTAGTCCACTAATTTTCTATACATATATACATATGTATAAGGCATTAACAAATATTTGCACAGATATTATGTTATCAATTTATTAACCAGACTAAAGGGGCGAGATTGTCTGTTATTTATTAAGAGACATGACATAAATGTAATATGCAGCCACAGTTGCTACTAACTGTACCCGGGGGATTAGTATATTTACGCTTGCACTTATGACAACAATGGCTATAAACTTTAATCCAACAGCAACATAAAGATTTGTGTTACTCTTTGTCTTCGGCATTGAACACAAGACTCTCAAAGAGGGATGCAGCTTACATATCTACCATAGGTCGTCCCATCACACGTGGCCGGAAA